GAGGGAGGGACAAAAGGAGGGAGGTAGGGAGGGAGAGAATGGGGAGGAAGGGAGTAAAGTGAGGGAGGGGGCAGGGAGGCACAAACAGCGTGAGAACAGATGTGATACAGGAAAAAGAATTTGACCTGGAATAAAGAGAATGAATTTACAATATTTTGCCACATACTAGTTGTGGGTAAATCATTTAACTTCTGTGTGCCCCCACTTTATCTATAACATGGGGATAATAATCTATTTTATCTATCTTTAAAAATTATCTATTTTTTAAATATTTGTTTTTTAAAATTCTCAAAACCAAAGATACTGGCCTGACACATAAAATACAGCACAGAATGGAACTGGCCAATGTAAGTCTTGCTTTTTTTTTAATTTATTTTTTTTGTATTTTGTTGTTGTTTTGTTAGGATATTTTTCCATTGATTTTTAAAGAGAGTAGAAGGGAAGGGGAGAGACAGAGAGGGAAACACCGATATGAGAGAGACACATTGACTGGTTGCCTTCTGCACGCACCCCGACGAGGCCTGGGGATTAAGTCTGCAACCAGAAGCATGTGCTCTTGACTGGAATCTAACCGGGGACCCTTCAGTTTGTGGGACTATGCTAGCCACTGGGTCAAACCGGCTAGGGCTGTAAGTCTTACTTCTAACCAGGAATTCAAGGCGTCTCCTTTCAAGGGAACCAAGCCCAGTCACTGCCTGCTTCTCTGTTGGGGGCTCAGGACTTCTCATTGTTTAGTAGAAACTTCATTTGGGAAAGAAATCAAAGCGAACACAATGGGAGCCCTCACGTACAACATTGGGGGAGAAAGCACTACTTAGGAGCTGTTCTTCTTGAGTGCTCTGTGGGTACTTATTCACGCCGCTGTCATTCCACTCTAACACTGGCCCCCTGCGGTTATATCCACCTAATAACTGAGGAAGCCAAGACGTGGCCGGGTGAAGTGACTTGCCCAAGGTCACAGAGCTAAAGAAATCGGTAGAAGAAAATAGCAAGAACCCACGCGGAGTAAAATTGGGGAATAAAGAGAAATAGAGAGGAAGAGAACAGTGTAACCACTGCGCCCGAGTCACGAAGCATCGGCCAGCAGGCAGGGGTAGGACGTGGTGACGGTGATGGCACCTCAGAGGCCCTTCCGAGCAGCGGAGCAAAGTGAAGCAGGGCTCCCAGGCGGATCGCCGGCGTCACAGGAACACAGGGGTTTCTGGGAAATGCTGGAAGCTCAATGCGCTTATTTGTGGCCTTGGCATAAAAACTCCAACACCACAGTGTGGACACGTTAAGCCCCAATGCTATCTACAACAAGGGTTTGCCTAAACCGAAAAAGAAACCATAATTCTGAATGCAAGCAGCACCGTTTTTCAAGAAGGAAACAGCCAAGAGTTTTTTAGCACACACTCCGATCATTAAAGCGTGTAAGAGATTCATTGCTGGCTAGATGGTGAGCGGGCATACACAGCATCGGCTTTATTGGAATCCAGCAAAATGTTTGTTTACCAACAGCAATCTCCTCACCGGGAAGAAATGTTCTTTGTTTTTTCTGGCCTGGACTATACCTCCCTTCTCAAGTGCTTGCATCTGACCCTGGTGCTGGGGCAAACAGGAGTTTTTCTCAGAACACACACGGTGAGTAATGCAACCGTTTGAACTTGAAACTGCACCCAAGCAGTTCACTCACATCTGTCCATTTCCCTCTAATTCAATCTTACTTCCGCTTGGCCAGGAGCTCCGAACACTTTATCTCAGAATCTGCCATGTCATTCTGTATAAAGAGAAGAGAAAACATGCCCTGCACACATTTTTTCTGGCCCCATTCATTTTCTCAGGGACCACGTTCATTGTGTAGAATTCCCTTCCACTCGAATGGTGCGTGGCTGAATCAGATGTGCCCATAACAAGAGGGCCCCTTCATTTCTGCCGCCAAAGAGAAAGCTGTGTCTCAGCCAGATTCACAAGCAGCGATGAGGCTAAGCAGCTATTTCGCTTTGTTCTTTAAGAAATGTTAACCAATTCCTGCCCAGCAACCTGCATAAAACACCGGGCATTTGATGACTTAGCCAAGAGGTCTTTGCTTCTAGAAGCAGCAGCTCAGGCATTAGCGGCTGAGTAGGAACGACACCTCAAAACTAAGAAGTTCCATTCTTTTTCCCTGAAAACCCGTCTCAGGACAATGAAGGGGCAGCTGAGACTGTGGGCCCTTTATTAAGAAAGGATGCATTTTGTAATTTTATTGAACATAACATCCACACAGGACATCTGTTCCCGTGCCACACAGTCATACGGACCCTTTATGCCCTGACGGCTTGGGAGACAAGGCCCTCCTGTTCCCACACTGCCACCCCTCATGCTTTCTGTATGGCTTGTACTTCCTGATGATGCATGACTTCTGCCGGAAATGAGTAGTTACCCAGCAAATGCATACGTTCGCCCTGTAAAAAGAGGGTTTCAGGCGGAAAGATCACCAAGGTCATGGCCGATTCTATTGACAGCAGAAAACAGTTAAACTGACTTTTACTACCCAGGCAGGGACCAAGATGGAGAAGTGTGACTTAAAATTTCTTTCTGGCTCAGAAATCTGAACTTAGTCTAGGCTTTCCCCCATCTTCTCCATCCTTACCCCCAAAATCAGACGGCTCACTGTGTCTTTAAGACACCTCATTCTTACATGTGGGATCCAGGAGGGAGACTGAGAGAACATAAGGATGAAAGCTCTTGGTCAAAAGGACCAACAGAAATCCTACCAGGGCACATGTGCACCAGACCCCAAAGCGCTGGCCCCTCCAACCACTGACACATATGGTGGAATCGGGTGGACCTGAGAACCGGGGGCCAAGCTTTACTCGAGCCAGTGGAGATGCAGTCGGGGTGTTTAGGCCTTTCTTTATAAATAATTCTCTGGATCGCTGATAAGTTTAATAAATAAG